CTCTCTTATGGAGCCCTAGGCACTCTGAATCGCTCTCTCCTCCCCGGGGTGCTTCCCCAATTCCTCCGCCAGTGACGGCGTTCGCGGTGTGTGAGTCACGGCTGGCGGCAGAATGCCCTCTTCGCACAACGATGACGTTTCGCTGTTCAAGACTTCAGTGGGTTATCTTCAAAGCGAGACCTTCTTCTGTTTGTTAGGTGATGGCAGTGCACTGGCACCCGCACTGGGACCCGCACGGAAACCGGGCCGTGTCTTATCGAGTGCTCCTGCATTTGAACTTTCCCAAGAAAAACAACGCAAGTGAGCCCCGTGCCATCGCGGTCGGTCTCAGGCGGATGTCGTGGACGCGCACGCTCTCTCGCGTTCCGAGAGCTGCGTCCCTGCCAACTTCAATATCGATTGCCACAGTGACAACCGCTCCACGGCTCGCTCATCCCCGCTCGCCTTCTCACTCTCTCTCTCTCTCCGCGCGCGCGCGCGTGTTTATACAGCTTGCGGTTTTTGATTCGAGAAGCGTCCTTGAGAACAATCCTATCGCGGTGGCCGCTCGGAGCCCCGGGACGGCTCCCCTCGTTCACCGCGCGTCGTGCGTTCCTTTCTTCGCTCTCGCTCGCGCGATAAGCCAACGCGGTATCGCCGCCTGTGCAACGGGGCCGCAGGGAGCAGTTGGGCCGGGATCGTTTCTGCGCTGTCACAACGCCGTTATCCAAACTCGCGCTTGATAAGCTACGTTTCTTTGTTATGTTTCCCAACTTATCAGCGTGACTTATTTTGCAAGCACGCTCTTCGCGGGGGTGGGGGCACATTCGCCTCGGAGGTTCTCGCCATTTGACTTTGCGCGTCCCGGAGACGTCGGTCGCGTTCCTCCGTGAATCGCCGAGCGCGGTCGGGTGGCTGCTGCTGCTGCTGAGAACGACCGCCGGCACTCCGGCCCGGAGTTGGAGGAGGCTGCCCCCCCACCCCCATCCCCACTTAGAGCCCGTTGTCAATCCAGCAGTGAATTGACAATGGCCTGCAAGTTACACGAGAGAATTCAAGTGGGAATTGAGGAAAATCTAGCCTCGGGACGGGGGGGTTGGTGGAATTGTTGCTGAGTTTGCGGTAAGCGCTGAGCTGCTCGCTGAGGGTAACTTCCCATGGCGGCCTCTGTCCCCGCTGTTATTCCCCACTCGGGGCTGATGGGAAACAGACTGAGCGGGAATGTGGGAGGAGAGAGCGGGGGGTTGGAAATATTTCATAAAAAGCCTGTGGCACTAAGCACGCACACGCGCACTCGGCCCGAAAGACCCCCGCTTCCGTTCGCGTAACCTCTCCTCGTTCCTGGGGGCAGTGAGCCTCGCGTGTCAAGGGCTGGAGTGGAAGTGCGTACGCACACGAGCGGTGTGGGTCACCGTGCGTCGGCTGCATCGTCCTTGCGTCCAGCGCTGCCCTGTGATCGAGGTTGGCCACCGCTGCAAGCCGCGCTCACTGCGGCGATTCTTCCGTGATTTCCAGGAACGTGACCGTGCGTAGGATTTCACGAATCGTTCCGGGCGGCTCTCCGATGTGCTCTGTGTCGCTGAGAAAGCTCCCGCGGCACGCGGAGAGCGAAGCGTCGGGCATCGTGCCGCGGGAGCGTTGTTCGGCACGACCCAGAAACGCGTCAGAGAGCCGTGCGGCACAACCGCGATCACCCACCCGGTGGCTATGAAACGGTTATACGATTGCAACAGAGCACGTTATTACGCGCGTTCACGTGATCTTACATTTATCTCCCGTGCCATGGACACGCAATCGGCCTGCTCGTTCAGGAGATGCTGCGGGATCTTTTCATCGCGCACACACGCAGCGGCACTCCGCTGGTGCGATGTGGCGGCGGATGCTTGCGACAGATCCCATCAGCCGCATTCATCTGTGGAAATGATTCCTGGCATCCGCTCGGCTCGTCATCGCCTGTCACGATGACGAGCCGCTGGATAAAGTGCTCCCCGAGTTTCCATCGTCTCTCTCCCAGTATTGCAGTGCGGCGTCAGTGCGTTGGCATCACTTGGACTACCGCCTGGTTGTTGTCGTCAGCGCTGTGTTGATGTTCGTGCTGCTGCTGCTGCTGCAGCGGCTGTAGCCTGCTGGGGGTTCGTTAATGACCGTGGCGTTGTGCTTGTAGCCTTGCAGCTCCGTCCCAACAGGAAATGTTTACCCCAGCGCCCCTTAATAGCACCCAATTATGTAGATATAGTTAATTTGATTTCAAATCTCTTGGAAAGATATTTATCTTTCCTGCTCGACTCTTTCTCAAAAAATGTTTGCTAAATATTGCGTTTTATCAAGTGATAATTTAACCGAAACTGAAAACGGTATGTGCGATAAAAAAACAAAAACGTATAATTATTTCCCATGGAAAAGCGTGAACTTTGGAAAATGTCTTTGCAGAAGCCGTGCTCGGCCCAGTGCTGGGTGAAGGCCTCTGCGTGCAGCTCCTGAGATTAGCCGTTGACAGCTGCGCCATTTGTCAGGCCCTCGCTTGCCCTGATTACATCGCTCCGTCTCCGCTTTGATGGTGTCCTCTGTGTTTGTTGCGTCTGGTAGCTGCTGTATTGCTGGTTTCACCCATCGATCGCCGACCCTTCTACGGACACGTACAGTGTGTTGAACTTCCTTCGCACCGTACGTAGCCAACCGTGACAGGCGGAGGTGCTGGCGAGGACAGCAAACTACTGTAAACGCAAAAAGCAGGGACACGTCCCGTCCGCAAGGGCTCGCTTTTCTTTACACACCCGAGCTTATCCTCACTGGTCTTCTCCGCAAATCCTTATTTGCGGGGCCGTGACATTTGCGATTCGTTGTGTGATAAGCGGACTTGTTTGTCCCTGAGGGTTTGCGTACGAGAGACGGCCGTCGTTGTATAAACTGCTTAACCGCCATGGCGTTGTGGCCGAGGAAACAATCCCCGTGCTTCCCGGACGGACGTCGAAGTCCCCCCCGCCCCACTCCGTCGCGATCTCTCGATGCGGCGTCGCAAGTCTCTGCAGCGAACGCAACAAGAAGTACCCTTGGCCGACTCGACCACACTCAGGCAGCCGTTGCACGCTTCGTGCTGCGTCTCTGCTACGCATATCCACGGTGTGTTCGCAAGCTAAGCGACCCCTCTGTTTTTGTGGTTTGCATCTGCTATTGAGGTCCGAGATATTGTCTCTCTGCCTTTCTGGTGTTATTTTTTTTATTTTTACAAAATACGATCGAATCAACGCAGGAAGCTGCTGTACCTGCAACGACGGCTCCTGAATGCGGGCGGCTCAATCAGCTGATCTCTCCCGCGGGGATGTGTGGCTTAAGTTTACATTTTATTTTGTGGTTTCCAAGTGACAACTCAAGAGATCGGGATAGAGGAGTCTCAGTCGCGAAGGGTGACCTGGGTCACCGAACAGCAATGAAGGGAATAACAATGGGAGCCAAAACAACCAAATATAAATCGGAGAAAAAAAAACAAAACGAGAGATAGCGTGAGAACTAAAAATATAGATTCTGGTTTGGAAATGTGACAAGCCACAAGTGAGGGGGGCGCTCCACGTGGTGTGCGAGACGTGGATCAGATATCCTTCACCCAAGCCTGAGCCTTAGCAAACAGTAGCACTTGGTGTGTCGCGGCCATGGAAATATAAGTAGGAGAGATAAGGCAAACCTTCACGTGCGGATTTCTCCAGGTTTTTATTTTTAGCACAGGAAGTACCCCGCTCCAGGTCACGCGTGTGTGGTGCACCGTGCAGGTCACGCGTGTGCGGTGCACCGTGCAGGTCACGCGTGTGCGGTGCACCGTGCAGGTCACGCGTGTGCGGTGCACCGCGCACCTCACACCGAGAAGCACAATGCTGTGACGGCACGCATCGCCTGCTCTTTTTTTAAATATTGTCATGGCTTCTTGAACGTCCATTGTGAAGCAGGCTGCGTGTGTGTCTGTGTTTATTTTCTTGGTGACTAGAACCCAAAGGATTAACCAGGACGGCCACTGGGCTCGAGCCACAAGCCACCGCGACAAGCCACACCGGCAACGCTTGTAATTTCCTCCTCATTACAAAGTCATATTTCCCCAAAGATATAATTATATAAGGCTACCCTTTCTAAAATATACTCTGTCCGAAATGTCGATAATGGTACCTAGGTACAAATATTTGTTTTTCCACTTCTAAAGTCTCCATGTGAAGCCGTCACGGTGCACAGGCACCCCGAGGCAACGCCAGGGACGTCGTGAAGGCATCTGCCGTGCACAATCGCCAGCAACGTGAGCGAACCAAGTGGTCACCGGCATTAAATGAAAAAACAATTTTTAATATCCTTTTGGTGCTGTGCGCGGTGACGAGGCCGAAGCCTTCAGGCTGCAGGCGGGAGCCGTTGCTTTATCTCAATAAAATATCATTGCTATCCTTCCTCCTCCTGCTTATGATGTTTCTCCTTGAGCTGCACTTTCAGATACACAGCCTTCCTTGTTGATTCTGGCTGAGCCCGATTCCCAATAATAGTAAAAGCTTTTGTTGGCTTAGGGAAGTTGCCCAATGAAGCGAAAAGATGTAAGCCTCAATGTTGGGCCTCAGGGTAAACATATCATCCGTAAAAAGACTTCATCTCTTCGTGCTCTGACCTGGTCGAGAGTTTTAATTAAATAATGGAAGTGTTTATTTTATTGTGATTATGAGCGCGCGTGCGGTTTGCGCGCCGCGCTACAAATCCCGAAATCGATTTCCGGTCACGACAGCCACCAGTGGCCACGGACCGGTCCGGGGCACTCCCTTTCAACAATACACACTGACCAGCGTGGTGAAGTATGGTCAGACAGCCCCCAAGACCGAGAGGCATGGGCGGGACTTCATCCGGCAGTGGATTGACAAAGGGCTCTGCATTTAATCTCAGTACTTTTATATTTTTTTTACTGCGCTTGCCCAGAACGGTGTACGACGGGCTACATCGGGGTACTGCTCGATCTTTGTGTTTGTAGCTGGACTCGTCGCCTGTCCGTTGTGCCTTTGCAGCTGTACAATTTCGGAGAGACTGTGTCGGTGGTGTTCTGGACCGACTCGTGGAGGCCGGAGAGCTTCTACGACAAGATCGCCCGCAATCGCGAGATGGGCTTCCACACCTTGTGCCTGCTAGGTACTGCTTCGCCGCTCGCGAAGCAGCGTCCACGCTCGCGGTCACTCCGGCGTGGCCTCGCGCGCCGTCGCGCTCCGCGGCTTTGCCGTGGTGTCCGACGTTCCGCCCCCTCCCGGCGAGCGGCGGAGGGTCGCGGTGCAACCCGATCACGCATCGGAGGGCTCTGTTTATTACGCTCAGTTGTGTTTTCAAGAACGGAGCACCGCTAGGCTGTGTTGAGTGTGCGCGTGGCACAGAGGAGCAGTTTTCTTCAAGGACGATGCAATGATCTGAATGTTTCCGTGAGTGTAAGTTGTGTCTATTGGGTTCACGTCACGCGCTGCATCCGCTGCGGGAGCGCTCATTCACGAACTGCGTCAACAAAAACAATAAATCAGTTCTGGCATCAAATCATGATGAGCCTGAATCGTAAAGATTCAGTTTTTTTTTATTTTAAAAAGAGGAATCAACTTCTTTGGTTCTTTCAGTAAAGTCACGTAGAATGAGAATAAATAATAAAATAAAACAATAAAATTCTCACGACGTTTCGGCCACAACACAAGTGGCCTTCTTCAGAGCTATAATGGCATTGTAGCTCTGTCGTCCCCACAGGTTTGTTCCTTTCACCTGAAGAAGGCCACTTGTGTTGTGGCCGAAACGTCGTGAAAATTTTATTGTTTTATTTTATTATTTATTCTCATTCTACGTGACTTTACCGAAAGAACCAAAGAAGATGAATCCTTGCAGTCACGAACGCTTTAAATCGAAAGAGGAATCAAATTATAAAAAATATTAAACATTCCGCAATGTAAAAAAAAATACTTAAACTGGCAGAAAAACACGTTAACTTCACCCTGTCATGATACATCACACGAGTCATGTGATAAATCAGAGCGAAATCTTCCACACGTGTACGCATTCAAGTATGTTCCTGCTGTGCAGCGTAGAGTATTAAGATTGCGCATTTGTAGTATTACTGTTGTTGTTGCCTGAATTGGAGGCGGTTTTGGTTTTTTTTCACTGCAGATATTAAAGTTAAGGAGCAGTCGGTGGAAAACATGATGAGGTGAGTCACGTGACTTCCAGGTAAGGGTTAGGCTTGCACATGTGAGTAAGAGAAACACCCCGGAACACTTGGGAAACTAAACAGTTGTTTGCAGGAGGAAACAGGTTTCCCTGATATAAATGTACTCGCGTTCTCCTCTGCCGTAAGGATTCAGAACGAAAGAAGACCGGCCACCGGACACACGGGCGGCCGATGTGTGTACACCACGTCCGGGCAAGGGAGCAGACTATTAGGAATGTCTTCCTTACAATCCTGATTACAGATTACTTAGTTATAAAAAAAAAAATCAAGATTCTGACCTAGTTCTTGCTGTAGCAAATAAAGAAACAGACTAAAGTCGGTCTCTTCAAGTGCAAAATAAATTCATGTTTTGTCCATCATTCCGTCGGCTTCCCGAAACTGCTTGCCAACAGCAATCGCTGAAGCAGGCAAACTCGTGATCAGCCCGCGCAGCTGCACACTACGGAGCTTGCATCCTCCCTGTACCGCGCCGCTGCAAAGCCATGCGCTGCACGACACGCGGAGGCAAATGTTTCCCTGCCATCAGCATTAAAACACACTTCCTCCTACCGGTGCAAATCATTTGTATCCAGGTGTTAGGAAGATTACACAACACTGGGAGTGGATGTTAGATAAGACCGGGCAACAACACCAACGCCTTCGACATTTACGTTGATAAAAGGAACGTGAATGGTCTTATCGCTTGACGTTACGTGATCCCAACGGTAGAGAGGAGGTCACATTTCTGTCGATGCAGAAATCAGTGGCATTTGGTTACTGAAGCTGGCCTGGTTTGCCCCGATAGGTCAGCTCAACCTTGGGTGATTATTGATATCGAGTGTCAACGTCGTTACCGCGATGCCAAAATGTCGGCGTGAGCGGCGTGTGCTCGATCGCTCTCGCGCACGCTCCACGCTTGGCTTTACAAGGCGCTCGATAACACCACTTGCTGCTCCCTCAGTCGGGAAGAATAAACAGATTTTATATGAAAAATAAGAATAGATTTTTTTTTTGTTTTACCCTTTCTGCCAACGCAACAGGAGGTGTTGAGATGTACAAACACCAAATAGAAACATTTAGCAAGGAATCAAGTTGCTGCGTTAACCGCACGCAGTACTTGTGGTGAACATGCAAGCGTGTTCTGATGCTATGTCTGCTTGTTCACCACAAAGTACTGTGTGTGGTTCATGCAGACGTGATTCCTTGCAAAAAGTATCTCTTTCGTGTTTGTACATCTCAACACCTCCTGTTGCGTTGCCAGATAGGGTTAAACCTGTTTTTATTTTTCATACTTTGATACTGGCAAAAATGTCTCGTGGTGCAGATTGTATTTTGTTTCTCTCCGACGGCTGCACATTGGATTGTCCGAGTTTGGCGCACCCACGCACACACAGAGCGCGAATACACACAATGTTATTTGTTTGTGCAGTAAAGCCGCACGGCTTCAGATCTTTTTCAGGAGGACCTTGTGATGTTTGGCCAAATCGTCGTTTTGTGTTTTATGTCACGTGGGAGGAAACTGGGGAACGCAGAGAAAAACACAAAAACCCTTCTCCCCCGCAGTAGTCAAGTGAAGGTTCATCTCCCACCTCTCGTCGCAATGCCTTTCAAGAATTGATTGTTTTAATCAGTCTCGTTTGGTACTCTCGAAATTGCATTGTGTTTTAAGTTATGTGTTGCGCCCATTAGCCTTAAGGTAACTTTTACATTGAAATGTTCTAAGTTATAAATAATTGATGCTCACGCGCATGCTATCGTGGGGGTGTGTACGTGCGTGTGTGTATATGCGTGCGTGTGTGCGTGCGGGGCCAACACTAGAGACGATTATTTGAACTGGTCCAAGGCCTCTCTGTCTACTCAAACTCAAATGAGTACCTGGTGCGGTATGTAAACATCACCACTGGGGAGACAAAGGCGGCCGGGCGTGGTGCTGGCCACCCACCCCCTCGTGTACCGTGCCGACTTTCATCGGTGCTCGCAAACAGCACTTGCCCCAACAGTCTCTTAAGGCTATAGGGGGATCTTTGTGTGTGTGCCTGTGTGTGTGCAGGGGCCGCCGCGTGTTTGAGCCACCGCGCTTCATGACTGTGAGCCAGGCGGCCGAGCAGCTGCTCGAGATCGTGCACAACCGGCGGGAGCGCGGAGACCCCGTCCGTGAGTGTGCTCGCCCGCACGCTCACCCAAACGACTGCTCACCCACACGCTCACCCACACGCTTACCCAAACGACTGCTCGCCCACACGACTGCTCGCCCACACGACTGCTCGCCCACACGACTGCTCACCCACACGACTGCTCGCCCACACGACTGCTCGCCCACACGACTGCTCACCCACACGACTGCTCGCCCACACGACTGCTCGCCCACACGACTGCTCACCCACACGACTGCTCGCCCACACGACTGCTCGCCCACACGACTGCTCACCCACACGACTGCTCGCCCACACGACTGCTCGCCCACACGACTGCTCGCCCACACGACTGCTCATGAGCGCAATATGAATGCAAGTATTATTGTATTTGCTCACTCAACCGATCACCACATTAAATCAACTGCTTCTCTACCCACTCAACCACTTGTTTACTCGCCCACTTACCCACACGCTCACTTACCCACAAATACTCCACCTACTTACTCACTTTCCCATAGGTTCACTCACGTGCTGAGCTGACCACGCTTTTACCCATTCGCTCACCCACTCACTCGTTGACCCACCCACTTACAACAAAGACAAAGATCCCCTGTATAGCCTTAACAGACTGTTGGGGCAAGTGCTGTTAGCGGGCACCTGTGAAGGCCGGCACGACACACGAGGGGGTGGGTGGCCAGCACCACGCCCAGCCGCCTTTGTTTCCCCAGTGGTGATGTTTACTACACACCGCTACACCAGCTCCTCATTTGAGGCTGAGTCAACCTCGGGGAGGCCCAGAACCGGTTCAGATATTCGTCACTGGTGTTACCCGTGAGCGGGAATCGAACTCGGTTCGTCGAATTTGTAGCACAGAGCACTTACCGCGACACTACCGCTCTACACTACCCACTTACTCTCCTATACGCTGACTCACCCAGCCACCCAACAGTTCACCCACCCTGTTAGTAACTTGCCCAGCCACACACTCCCCAAGTTCACCCATCAACTCAAACACCCAGCTCACACTCGCCCACAAGCTCCTTCGCCAAGCTCCCACGTGCACGCCCGACACGGTCTCCGTTCGCTTCGTGTGAGCTTTCACGACTTCATGCAGAACCTCGGGCAAGGCCCACGTTTACCTCCTTCGCAGAAAAATGCCTTCTCCCCTCCCCCCCTTAAATTTGCAGTAAAAAAATTTTGAGGTGTTCGATTTGTTCATCACACAAACACATATCAGCCATGATCTATCCACTGCTGGATGAAGGCTTCCCCAAAAACGGCCCTCTCTGTCATGGTCTTACGATGCAACAATCCGTCTCGGTCCTCCACCTCCAAGGTGAGTGGCAGCCCGATTAGGCTGACACTCACTTCCTCGGTAGCCTTGACCACCGGCACATCGTCCCGTCCGGTGGCATGTCCTGACCCACTTACCGACTGACGGTGGACGTGGCGCATCTCACTGGCACGTGTTCTCTGGCCGCTGGGTTTCTCTTTATGTGTCAGTGTAACTCCCAGAATGCATCTCTCCCACGGTTCTTTTGCACACTTCGGCCTTCGTTCCGTCGTTTCAATGTTACGCGAGAAAAAAGCGTTGCATTGCTGAACAATGGTTCAATTCAAATCTCGTGGCAAAATTATTAATTTATATAGTCTTGATTTAAAGGTGCACACGCGATCGCCATGTTAAAAATAACTCCTGTTATAAATACGGTGTAAGCAAATACGAATATCCGCCGCTCATTTCATTGAACTGGCGTGAGTTTATAAACATTCCGTTCAACGAGACCTCACGGCAGCCGTATTTGTCAAACGCTCACGAGTTCCTGCCCCGTCTCACGCGAAGCAAGAACAAACGGCGATTGCTCGCCATTGTAAAAAGAAAGACGGAGTTTCAGGCAGTTGTGAGCTGGCCTCACGGCCAAATTGACGGCCCCCGTTAAATTAGCTGGGCCAATAAATACTCTCACGGCAGCATCCGCAGCTCGTATCGATGAATTCCTGTGCCAGTAATTGCTGCCACGTTGCAAGATTGATGTTTGGCGCCTGGAGCTCTGCCGGTGGGAGGCAGCGCACCGGCGTGCCGCTGTGTGAGCCTCGTATCGTTGGGCTGAGGGCGACGACGATGATTCCAAAAGGAGGTTGCTCAACCGGGTTGGGCTTCGTTGTTTGTGTTGTACTTATGAGTGAGCTTCACGGGGAGCGGTCGTGCGGTGGTTAGCGCGCTGCGCTACGAACCAGGTGAACCGAGTTCGATTCCCACTCACGGCCAATAACAGCAGCGAATATATCTGAACCGGTCCTGGGCCTCCACTAGGTCAACTCAGCCATAAGTGATTACCTGGGGTGTTGCGTAAACACGTGCATTGGGGAGACAAAGGCGGAATGGCGTGGCGCTGCCCACCCTTACCCCCTCGTGTGCCATGCCAGACTTCATAGGTACTGCTCGCTAACAGCACGATCCCCAACAGTCTGTTAAGGCTACACGGGGGATCTATGGCTTTTACTTTGTTTGCGTATTCACGTGTATTCACGTGCCAGCGGTGGCCCCGCTGTGCTGTGTGGGCTGGCGCTTCGCGCTTCATGTGCAGCTGGTGTCTGCATTTGCCACGGGCTTCCCCTAGGTTGGCTGAGTCTAAAATGAGCGCTTGATGCTGTGCTCACAATACCATTGCTATAATAGAGGTTTTCGTTGGGTAGGATCGCGTAGATATATAAATGTTGTGTCGTTAAACCCGCCACCACCCGACACAGCCAACTAGTAAGGGGTTGGCACGTGAACAGAACGTGCCAATTCGTCACGAGTACAGCACACCGGTGTGTTGGAGAGCAAAGCCACAACATTTACAATCCGAGTATGAACTTTCGCCAGTAATTACAACCAGCTTCAGGCGACAGGCAGATTTGTGGCTGGCGGGTTTAACGACACATCTATATATTTACGCGATCTAACCCAAAAAAAACCCCCAGTTTTTCTGGATGATATTGGGCACGAAAGCCTCCGTGTTTTCCAACGCCATCGCTAATGGGGAGCCAAAGGTGGGCGTGCATTGTTGCGGGCCCCGCGAGCCCCCTCGCGTCTTCGCGTCGGAACTCCCCAACAGAAATTTCCTCAACCGCTATGCAAATCGAGAGCAGGCGTTTGTGTGGGCGAGCGGGCGCGTGCTGTCAGGCGCACGGCATGCGTCTGTGGCTGCGTGTGCGTTCGTGTGCGTGTTTGGGGGAGTGTGTTCGTGGGGAGCGGGCAGTGTAGTGGTTAGGGCGCTGCACTACATACCGGGAAAGGCGTCACCTAGGTGGACTCAGCCTTAAACGAGTACCTGGTACAGTGTGTAAACATGAGCGTTTGGAAGACAAAGGCGGCCGGGCGTGCTGCTGTCCACACAATGCTCTCGTGCGCCGTGCGGCCCTTAAATAGGTGCTCGCTAACGACACCTGCCTCAAAAGTCGATAACGCAATTTGGGGGATTTGTGCCATTGACTTTGGGTGCGTATGTGTGTGCTGTGTGCACGCGCGTATATGTGTGTGTGTGTGTAATTGGCATGTGTGGGTGTGCACACGTGCAGTCCCATGTGTTCGGGGCACATTCCACGTGTGTGTGCGCGTGTGTGTGTGTGTGCGCGTGTGTGTGCGCGTGTGTGTGTGTGCGCGTGTGTGTGCGCGTGTGTGTGTGTGTGCGCGTGTGTGTGTGTGCGCGTGTGTGTGTGTGCGCGTGTGTGCGCGTGTGTGTGCGCGTGTGTGTGTGTGTGCGCGTGTGTGTGCGTGTGTGTGTGTGTGTGCGCGTCGTCGCCGTGAGAACCCCACATGCGCTCTGCGACCCGTGTGCTCCACATGTTGCGTGCGCATTCCTTGCGTATGGGCGTCGTGCCAGCGGAGCATTGTGCGTGTGCTTGTGTGTTGGGAATGCAGTTGTGTCCGCGTGCGTGCGTACGTGCGTGTGCGTGTGTACGTGCGTGTGTGCGTGGGAAATGGTTGCACGGCGGTGAGTGTACCGCGCTGTAATCCTCGCAACCCACGTTCAATTCCTGGTCATGCACATCGAGTCGTAATTAGTATCAGAATCAGAGTTTGATTTATTCGATGTTGTTTTGGCTTCAAGTGAACAGCTGCAGTGCGTGGTCAACGTCGTAGGGAGGCTAAGGCGCGCCGTGTTTGGTCACGGCTCTTCTCTGTGTGCCGCACACAGAGAAGTTTAATTCATTCTGCCGACACACATCGGCACACCTCGCAAACGATCCTCTCCGGCGTCGTCGTCAGCAGCGGCAGCGTCGTGTGTGTATGTTGAACTTGCTTCGCGCCGTACGTAACCAACCGTGCTAATCGTTAAGTGCTGGATGTAGTCTCCAGCGAAACGTCGCACCCATGTCAACGTGTTGAGATTGGTCTCCAACAACAACAACAATACCAGGGGCGGGCTGCTGAAGCGCGAATCGGCTCGGCACGATTGATTCACGCGACACTTGGAGCAGGGCTAATAACGATCGTTTTATAATAGACGACCGACATGTCTCTCTGTCTCTCCCTCTGTCTCTCTTTGTCTCTCTCAGTGACTTTGTGTATTTCATATCGGAATTGCCTCCAGTGCTGTTGCTGCTGGCGGCAATAAAAGTGGTTTAAAAGTCAAGTCTGGCTCCCTCTCTCTGTCTCTCTCTCTCTAAGTGTCTCTGTCTCTCTCTGTCTCTCTAACTCTCTCTCTGTGTCTCTCTCTCTCTGTCTCTCTCTCTAACTCTCTCTCTAACTCTCTCTCTAACTCTCTCTGTCTGTCTCTCTCTCTCTAACTTTCTATCTCTGTCTCTCTGTCTCTCTCTGTCTCTCTCTCTAACTCTCTCTGTCTCTCTCTCTGTCTCTCTGTCTCTCTCTGTCTCTCTCTCTAACTCTCTCTAACTCTCTCTCTAACTCTCTCTGTCTCTCTCTGTCTCTCTCTGTCTCTCTAACTCTCTCTGTCTTTCTCTCTCTCTAACTCTCTCTGTCTCTCTCTCTCTCTAACTTTCTATCTCTGTCTCTGTGTGTGTGTGTGTCTCTCTCTCTGTCTCTCTCTGTCTCTTTCTCTAACTCTCTCTCTAACTCTCTCTGTCTCTCTCTCAAACTTTCTATCTCTGTCTCTCTGTGTCTCTCCGTGTGTCCCCGCTGGCGCCGCCAGCGCTGAGCGAGGCGACGGTGTGCGTGGGCCTGGCCCGCGTCGGCTCTGAGACGCAGCGCATCGCGGCCGCACCTCTCTCAGAGCTGGCGGGCGCCGAGCTGGGCGGACCGCTGCACTCGCTCGTGGTCACGGGGCAGCTGCACCCCCTGGAGGCCGACATGCTGCGCCTGCACGCGCTCAGCGCCGGGGCGCTCGACGGACTCCGAGAGGTCGACGCCTCCACGCTCACCTCCTGAGCGGCGGCGGCGGCGGCGACACACAAGGAGCGTGGTGGGGGTGGGTGGGTGGTGTGGGGGTCCCGTTGGGTGTGCGGTGGTGCTGCTGCTGCTGCTCTCCGGCGGTGGTGACTGTTCGGTGTTGGTTACCAGCCTCTACCGTAGCTCGCGGGCCCTGGGTTTGAATCCGGGTTCGAGCCACTGCCCGGGGTTGAACCGGGTTCTTCTCGAGTGCAGTGAGTTGGTGGTGCCGGCCCGGTCACCGATGAGTGGTTTGATGCGTGACGATCTGGATTGAAATCAGTTTGTTGGAATTAAATGTCCCGAGAGATATCTCTTTACACAGAGTCGCTCATGTTTAAGCCGCTTGCTTTTACAGACCTGAGAATATTTGGGCCCCACATTTGGGGCCAAATAAAGTCCCATCAAGTAAATCCACTTGAGGCTGAAACATAGGGCCCAATTAAATTATTTTCTACGAAATGACCAGAACACATCACCTGGGTGACTCTGAGGCCCCATCGTTGGTGATGGGAACGGTGGCTCGTATTCTTCAACAATGGCATGGGGACAGCATGTTCTAACACATCAGTCAATCTCTTAGGATGCGCACACACTGCCTTACGGAGAACTCGCAGGACTGTGTGAGCCCAACGGAGGACGTGTGTGTAGTCGGTGTGGTTTAGCCGCCACCAATACACAGCTACACCTGTCTGGCTACACCTGTCTCCATGCTGCAGTTGACCGTATCCGTGCAGCATGCTTCCATGTATTGTATTGACATTACACATTTCTGGTCATGGCAATCATTTGCTGGGATACATCTTTTTTTTTTTTAGATCTCGTGAGAGCTGTGTTGCTGGGATGATGGCGGTGATATGGGAATGACGTACATGTTCACAAACCTGTCACCGATTTAGCAGACTTGAGAATGCGAAAGCTTCAGAATTGTCAGTTGCTGGTGATTATCATCTGGTTTACCAGTGATGAAAAAAATAAAGTGTCCAAAACCAATATCACTCTCTTCGGTTCGGGATGTCGCACTCGCACGACATCCCGACTTATTGCAAATCTGTGGTCGTTTTAAACTCATTTGGGGATTGTGAAGGTCGCTGAAGAGACGGCGTTACCCGGTCCCGCCGCACAAGTGAGCTGTCGAGCATACCGGGGTGGGGGGGGGGGGGGAGAGTCGGTGTGGCAGTGCCTGTGAATGGGTGTCCGGAGTAATAAAGCTGCGGCAGTGCCATCTGTTAGACATTGGCGCTAATCTTCCCGAGAAGCGATCGTGAGCCAAGAATATCACGAGCAGGGAAATATTTCAAGCAGTTATTTTGTTTTTGTGGAAGTGCTGATGTAAACGATAATAAACAGAGGAGGGAATTAATCATTTTATTTTTTTCCAATCTACCCGTACATTAAAACCCTCTCGGTTGGCAGAGGATTCCCATCCTACAAGCCTGGTTTGGGCCATCTGCACGCAATTTGTATTTAGCTACATTTACTTAATTATAATATCATTTATTTAACTGCTTGAAAGCCCATTAATATTCATCTTCTCTTTTAAAAAATTTTAAAAAATAGGTTTAGGATAATTTTAAGGTTCAACATTTAGGCCATGCTCTTTGTTTCTTTCGGTAAAGTCACGAAGGTAGAAAAATGAAATCAATATTTATTTAAATATTTTATTTTTCTACCTACGTGACTTAACCGAAAGAACCAAATAGCATGGATTCCTGCAGTCACGAAAGCTTCAAATCAAGATTTAGGCCATGACAATGCACAATGGCTTGCCCTTACGTATGCACGTTGAACTTATTTCGCACCGTACGTAGCCAACCGTGCTAATCGGAGGTGCGGGGGAAGGACAACAAACTAAACACAAAAAGCAGTTTGAAGGAAATGAGTTGTCAATCTAGATGATTTAAAAGTGCATAGCTCCAGTGGCTTCCTAATATCGTAAGAGCGTTCCAGACGGCAGCAGAAGCGCGCCTGAAAGCGCGCGATGCAGTGACCCTCTCTGTTGGATGGCTCGCGAAAAGCCGCTGCGAGGATGGTTTAATGCTCCTTGATGAGCTCAGCAAGGTGTCGAGGTTCGTTTGTGGAAAGACGCTTTGTGTGTAACGCGTGTCAGGTGTCACGGCCAGTGGATCGTGGCGACGTTTATCGCAGATGCCAAGACAGGAGGGCGAGGAAGGGCGGTGCAGCGCCCTCCATAAACGATATCCACCGTCGAGCATCCGCCTCCGCGTACAGGGGTCGAGTGATGCTCACGGCGCAACGCGTTCTCCCTACGCTCGCTCCCCTTAATGGGCACCGGCGCCAAGGGGCTGCGGGCACACGACTTGCGCTGCGTTCAACCGATGTTCTCCTCCCTTGCTCTAATCGCTCACGGTCCCCCTTGCATCAGAGAGTGATTCACCGCAGAGGAGTACAGGCAGCAGAGGAGTACAGGCAGCAGGAATCAAACCGTCGCCTCCCTGGTCGACTGGCTCGGCAGCAATTGCAGCGACCGATGGAGAGCTGGGATCTGAATGAAGATCAAAGTGCCCCGTCGGGTGTGCGGTGGTGGTGCTGCTGCTGGGATCTGAATGAAGATCAAAGTGTCCCGTTGGGTGTGCGGTGGTGGTGCTGCTGTTGGGATCTGAATGAAAATCAAAGTGTCCCGTTTTGTGTGCTGTGGTGCTGCTGCTGGGATCTGAATGAAAATCAAAGTGTCCCGTCGGGTGTGCGGTGGTGGTGGTGGTGGTGCTGCTGCTGCTGGGATCTGAATGAAAATCAAAGTGTCCCGTTTTGTGTGCTGTGGTGCTGCTGCTGGGATCTGAATGAAAATCAAAGTGTCCCGTCGGGTGTGCGGTGGTGCTGCTGCTGCTGGGATCTGAATGAAAATCAAAGTGCCCCGTTGGGTGTGCGGTGGTGGTGCTGCTGCTGGGATCTGAATGAAAATCAAAGTGCCCCGTTGGGTGTGCGGTGGTGCTGCTGGTGCTGGGATCTGAATGAAGATCAAAGTGCCCCGTTGGGTGTGCGGTGGTGGTGCTGCTGCTGGGATCTGAATGAAAATCAAAGTGTCCCGTTGGGTGTGCGGTGGTGGTGCTGCTGCTGGGATCTGAATGAAAATCAAAGTGCCCCGTTGGGTGTGCGGTGGTGGTGCTGCTGCTGGGATCTGAATGAAAATCAAAGTGCCCCGTTGGGTGTGCGGTGGTGGTGCTGCTGCTGGGATCTGAATGAAAATCAAAGTGTCCCGTTGGGTGTGCGGTGGTGGTGCTGCTGCTGGGATCTGAATGAAAATCAAAGTGCCCCGTTGGGTGTGCGGTGGTGGTGCTGCTGCTGGGATCTGAATGAAAATCAAAGTGCCCCGTCGGGTGTGCGGTGGTGGTGCTGCTGCTGGGATCTGAATGAAAATCAAAGTGTCCCGTTGGGTGTGCGGTGGTGCTGCTGCTGGGATCTGAATGAAAATCAAAGTGCCCCGTTGGATGTGCGGTGGTGGTGCTGCTGCTGGGATCTGAATGAAAATCAAAGTGCCCCGTTGGATGTGCGGTGGTGGTGCTGCTGCTGGGATCTGAATGAAAATTAAAGTGTCCCGTCGGGTGTGCGGTGGTGCCGCTGCTCTCCGGCAGTGGTGACTGTTCGGTGTTGGATACCAGCCTCTCTGTAGCACCTCCACTCTGCCCTTCAAATCACGAAGTCGTTCATTTTAGCTATGCCAGAGAAAGGTTCTTGGCTGAATCGACCACGATCCCCAGGATTCGAACGTGCTGTATGTTGTCTAACTTCCTTCGCACCGTACGTAGCCAACCGCGCTAATCGGAGCGTGCGGGGGAACTGACCTAGCAACACCCAGCTGGAATACTGAGAAGCCAAATGCAGGAGAGTTGTTTTTTTTACGTCTTTAATTAAGCAAACTAACATTCAAATACCTTCAAGAAAGTCAACAGGCCATAATATCAAGATTATTATTTCCCTCTCAGCAAAAAAAAACATTCATGTATCGTTATTTTAAATCAACCTGTACAATGTAATAAACCTCAATGTCGATGTCGCCGCGATTAAATGTAATCGCGGCTGGGTGAGCGCGCGGACCAATGGGGAGACTGGGAACGAGACCCGAGTTAAGTCGGAGGCTTTTGCGGCCCCTCATCCACACAAACATCGCGACTTTCCTGGAAGAACGATAAACCCAAAATATACAAAATATCGCTCGGTAGACACAACGCTGCCCCTACATGGCCAGATGCGGAGCACAGGCCCCGCGTTCCGCGCTGGGATTGGCACTGTGGCTGAAAACGCTTCCAAAGCAGTGCCCCAATGACAAGGATGCATCTGTACGCGTACGACTGATCATCTTTCATCGATGATTGACATTGATGAGCCTTTTCCAGAACCCGATCAATGGTACAGGACTCCGTGTAAGTTCATGGTCGGTCGTAGAGAAACCTTCCTCGACCTGGCTTGCTCGCCTGGTTGGTTGGAGCTGCCTTGGGGAAGCCTTCATCCAGCAGTGGCTCGATCGCAACTGATGATGATGACACAGTCATAATGAAACGTATATAACAATGACTGATGATGACACAGTAATAATGAAACGTATATAACAATGACTGATGATGATGATACAGTAATAATGAAACGTATATAACAATGACTGATGATGATACAGTAATAATGAAACGTATATAACAATGACTGATGATGACACAGTAATAATGAAACGTATATAACAATGACTGATGATGATGATACAGTAATAATGAAACGTATATAACAATGACTGATGATGATACAGTAATAATGAAACGTATATAACAATGATGATGATGATACAGTAATAATTAAACGTATATAACAATGATGATGATACAGTAATAATGAAACGTAAATAACAATGACTGATGATGATACAGTCATAGTGAAACGTAAATAACAATGATGATGATGATACAGTCATAATGAAACGTATATAACAATGATGATGATACAGTAATAATGAAACGTATATAACAATGACTGATGATGATACAGTCATAGTGAAACGTAAATAACAATGATGATGATACAGTCATAATGAAACG